CGGCACCGGAGGTCAGGACAGAACTTTCCCAGGGATATTTGTAGGTTAGTTATGGCTTTTACACGCGAGGTCCCGGCCGGGTCAGGCCGCATTATGCGGTACTCGCAAGGCGCGCGTCGCGCTACTCAATTTAGCCCCGGCTACTCCGCATGGCATGAAGTGGGTGTGGAAGCTTTCGCCTTGTGGACCCGCAATGGCGATACGATGCAGCGTGTCGATCTGAAAATTCTTGGCGTCTCGATCGAGCGACTCGAACAGCCCTTGTAAATATCAGAGCTCGGATCGTACGAATAGATACTTCGAATAGATTCGAATGTGAGAGTCTGGATCCGAAATATTCGGATACTGGAATTTATCGAATATCAAATTTTCTGTTACATTGTTTGCTGATTCGAGCATGCCTGTCGGTATCTGAATATCAAGCAGCAATATTATCCAACGATGTAATTCCGTCAAAGTTTATGGAAGCTATTAATTTAATAAATAAATTTATAGCGCGTATAACGATACATGAAACGGGATCGCATAGCGAAACGATGGAGTTAATTAACGACATAAAAGATACTCGGATCTTATTTTCGCATGTACGGCGCGAATATGACGATCGCATTAAAATTACAATAGAAGTACAGAGCGCGACCGAAACATTGTAGTTTCGTGTAACAAATGGCAGAGGCAAAAGCCTCTTATCCGCGTCGCTGGTGTTTTGATTAAAACCGCTTTTAATGAGTCCGCCGTTGCGCGCTATCCGACTATCAAAATGCCTGCGCGCGCGCGCGCGCAACGTCGGCATTTAACGTCCGCTAAGTACAGAGTCTTTCATTAATTGCGGTCAGGATAAAGGCTCTTGTTTTGCATGCAAACCGACATACCCGGCGGTCCGACCGCGGTCGCGCCGCTGCTGCAACGCTGGTCGGGGTCGCTTTGCTGTCCGGCCTACGTGACATCATCGAGAACACCTGCACACGAATGGACCATTACAGCGGACGGTCGACCGATCGTCAGCTCGATAGATATATATCACCCTCTCGCGGTCTCGGAGATGACCTCGAGACGCAAAATCCAGCGCGCGTGTTCTCCCCGTCTCTATCGTCGATACAGAGAATTTATATGACTGAATATTTACTATGTTTTCAGTCCGACTGCAGGATTTATCGCGCATCACGTACGGATTTCCATCGGACGTATACACGTAATCCGTAGAATTCAATTTACGGTTGGAGAATGAGCGCCGATCGATTGGCTGCGATCGTGTTTGGTGGTAGCGCCAAAAATTGAAGGCCAGGTTATCGACTCTCCTCGCCCTCGATATATCGAGCTCGAATATGCCGGTGCGCTACACTTGAATATAGTTGCTGTAAGTCGAAACAATATATATTTCGAGTGCAATTGTTACAAGCATGAGTTTCATCGAGTTTGCCGATCTATTCTTTCAAAAAAAAAAAGACATGACATCGATACTCGCATCTTTCAAAGTATTGTTGTCGCTTTTCCGCGATGCCGATTGGTTATTTCGTGGCGGTTACTTCGTGAACGGCTGTCATGGCATAGTTTAATAGTTGTGTGTACTGAGGTTAGTAGAGTGTAAAGCAAATATAGCAAAAAATGAAAAATGTAGCGCGCACTTCGTGCGCGTTTGTAATGCTAGTGTCGTAAATAATAGGTGTCAGGCGACTTCTAATTGAAGTTGATCGAGTTACGAAAGAGACTCGCGACTTCTAATTGAAGGTGTCCCGGAAAGGCTCCCTTGGAAAGCCCCACAGGGTTACGAGAGAAGCATTCGCCCGTGCGCGTTTCCCAATTTGTTAATGTTCATTCGTCGTGATTACGCGGGCACGCGGTAATTCCTGTGGCTTCTTCTTCTTCTCGTAACTCCCAGAGTCCTTATGGATCTTGAGAAAAGCCGGCACGTACCTAGTTTGGTCCTGTAATTTGTGACCAGGGGATTGGAGCCCGGCAATACGATAGTGGACCGGCGAGCTTGCGGGTCAGTAGCATCATTAACGTCGAATAGGATATTCGGCCAGTTTCGCGCACACAGTTTCGCCTTGGTTGAGTTTCATCTGAACAGCTCTCCTCCATGTAATTAAGCTACGAATCGGTATGAAACGACTAAAAGCTTCCGAAGTACAGCGGCGTCCGCCCGCGCGTACATCACACCGCGTATCTGTGTAAACAGACACACACGCACCTGCACATACATTTAGTCCAACGCCTAACGCCGCGTTGAGAGCATAGTTGGTGTTGATCACGCAGGAGCGCGAGATACGCGCGGCCGCAGAAATTCCGGACGTACGTAAGCCGATTTACGTGGTTTGAGGTCCGAGCAACGCGATTAATTTCCAAAATCGTTGAGGGAGAGACAGCACGAGAGTGCACCGTCAAGGGCTACTTGCAAGGGTCGAATCGTTTAGATTGTCCATTATTGAAAAAAATAAGTAATGAAAATCAATTTTAAAGTAACATGATATGAAAAACATATCTATAACAAATTTGTACGAAATGTCTCTCTCTCTCTCTAGGAAGGAAAAAATTCTATTTATTTCCGAAATATTCAAGATTGTCAGTTATATTGTACAAGTAACGTATACAAATATAGGTATGCCATATTTATAAATAGGTTCTTGTTTAAAATGATTGAAAATTAGAACAATTCTTTTTAGTATAGATTTTTCGTCTCAGGGTGGCCTACATTGGTGAGATTCGCTACTACTATCTATTTTGTATTATCGAGTGAAATATATCTTTATCAAAGCCAAATGGAATAAACCAACTCGTCGAACATCGACATTCATCGATTCGCAATGATAATGCGGACGTAATTCTGCTTCTGCAATTTTTTGCACGAGACTCGCACTTTAATTTCTCATTTTACATAAATGGACTGTGTGGTCTCTCGGCTCGGTTTTATCGCGTACAAATTGAAAACTTCACGTTTTTCAAATAGAAAGAGTAAATTGATTTTGAGTCATAACGGAAATACGTGCGAATATCGCGATAAATGCAATAATAATACGATAACAATTTCCAGATCGGTCGTATTCGCGAGAGAAAAAGAGATCAAAAGTGCTAGAAAATAATGGAAGCCAATTTCGAATACTCCGATATTTTCGTAATGGTGATAGGCGAGGGTTGCGCTCGAGTCTCTCTCGTACAACAGGGACGAGATTGAGGATATTATTATAATGCCACCGGAGAACCTCTCCATGACTGCCGTTATCCCTTAATTAATTATCTTTTATGTTCCCATGTGTGTGATCGTTCATTTGAATTATAATACTTCGCTTCTAATAATAATTCCAATAATAATAAGGATAAATTTTATTTCGAATCATGCTTTCTAAAATATTTCACGCATCGATAATTTTAAGTACGTTAATATGCTTTCACCCAATTAAATTTACATAATAAATATTTCTTATGGAGAATATTTTTTACTGAAACGCAATGAATAAACATTAGCACAATTAAGAGTATAATCTGTGTTATATTTTTAACTTACATTTTTTAGCTCGCTTGTACTACTATTCTTTACATGGCCATTTAAAGATATATTTTGTGCCAAAGACAATTTTTAATAATAATTAAAAATAATTTCAATTAAATTCCATTAAATATAGAAAAGTAAAAAAAGGCCTGGTGCACCAATTTCGAGGAAACAGCCGCGTCTGAGCGTCGATGCGCAATTAAGATACCCAGAGGGATAAGAGAAATCCCGATTTGTGTACAATCGATACCGGGTAAAATTAGCGAGATAATTTAGATCGGCAATCGAGATTGCACGTGATCTTGGGTAGGAGCAGATTACACACAGAAATGGTACCACCCAAATCCGCAGTCGGATTTTAAAGACAGCTGAAACTCACCCTTGACCTCGTCCTCGATTTAATCCGGAATGTATTCGCGTGTACCTTGCCAACTTGCAACTTAAAACTCGCCCGCCCAATTCACGCCGCGATTACTAATGTTCGATAAGAGTTGACGGACGGCCGGAATTTCTCGTACGATTTCACTCGATGGCGCGAATCGATACAACCGGCTCGAAGTTACTAGCCTGTCCGTCCGGAACGTGAGCTTTTTCGTCGGTTCCGTAAATCTCGAGGTCACTACTACGCCCGAAGACAAACAGTTCCGGATTTTTAGCCGACGACCAAGGGACTCAACTGGTCAGTGCCAAGAGTACGAGAAGAGGGATGCTATTCTTGTCGAATAAACCCGATCGTGACTCAAGGACAAAAGTACTGCTGGAAGTACATCTTCTCGTCGTTCGTTGCTGAGCGAAAGAGCAACGTAAATGTTTTTCTATCCGAAAGATAACTGTCGTCTGCAAAGAAACGATTCTTGCAATTGTTAAGTTGGTAAAAGATGCACTAATAGCTCAAATACGCCTAATTTAAAAATTTGTAAAATAGTTAAAAAAATGATAAGACGCATAACGTGCATCGCTATTATTTATAATGTATAAACTACTGAGTTTGAGGTATTTTTATTTAATTACATCAAATGTGAGCAATTTCAACTATTATTTGCACACATGATTGCCGACATTTTATCCATCCGAGCACAGTCGACGGTATTCAACGAATAGATAGGTTACAGGCGTAACAACACTTTCGCGAACTATTAAATCCGAATAACTGCCTGGCGCTTTGCATGGATATCTATATTTTCGCAAACGAAGGTACAAAAGAGAGGGATAACGTTGGGATGCAAAAAATCCTATGTTTCAGCACTTTATTTTGGAGTGCAGAGATGAGTGCGTTAGAGCAGGAAGATTGGTATATCCATTCAGTTCAGTTTAATTTATATAATGATATATAGTAAGTTCGCTATACGCATAAATGAAGACGAATGAGCTATACACCGAGACAGAAATTTTACAATCGTATAAAAATCTCACAACTATATACTACACCATATGCATTTAGCGCGTGATATTCATTGATTGACTTTTATTCATTCGATACGAAGAATAAATGAATATATAGTGATGTGTAACATTTAAGATTATAATTATAATTTTATTATAATTAAGAAAGTATACATAAAATATATATCATGCTCCATTTTATACATCCACATTCCCCTTTCTTCCTGCGATAATGTACAAACACAGAAGATTCAACAACTGCAAGGTCTGCACACCGCTTTCTGCGGCGGCGATTCCGTGACGTGGAAAAAGCAAACCATTCTCCGTGGTGGAAGAGTAAAGACGGTAGACTAACAGACAGGAAAGAAGAAAGTGCCCGGGAAACCACGTGGAAACTCTACCTTTCCCGTACTTTTCCCCGAAGATTTTTTTAAGACGCTCCTCCACGTCCGTGCAGAGTTTTCACACTCATCGTGCTTCTCGCTTCGACCGCTTAAATAAGAAATACAATACGGAGCTTTTAACGCAGTACACGTTGCCAAAGAAATTCGTTTTATTTCTTTAATCTACCTTGCGAATCGACAATCTCGTCTTCAATTTCCTTTTGCATCCTCTAAAACATGGATGTACAATCCAGGCATAGCATAGTAAATATTAATGCTTGTGTATTCAGTTGCGTTCTTCATCTATGTATATATTTATATACATACATATACATCGGAACAAGTATACTAATTGCACAAAATATATGTATATCGATCAAAGAAACTAGTATTTGATTAAGTAGGCGAATCTTTTTACTTTGTAGAATATGTATTTTTTATGGAATAATTTTTTTTTTTCCATTTCATATAACGTCCCTTTTTTCGGTTCTCTAAGGATGTTACGCGAATTGGATTGAACAATTCGAGGACGAACCCATACAATACATGCGCAGGATCAAACGGCCCAAACCACCCTGTGGAAGTACCAAAGTGTTTTATTACTGACCAATACAAACCGGTCTATAAAAAAGGTTTGTTTGAAAATATGCCTCCGTATTCAGCAACGCGTTGTAGCCTCCACTGTGGGTGCGCGCGCGCGGCATTTTTTGGATGCATATGTGTTGTACAACGGAGTATGGTCCATATCGAGTGCCCGTCTATACCCATAAAATCTCATGCCAGCCGGGGTCTGTTATTTTGCCGTCCGATCGAGTCCTCCTCCGAATGGCGAAATGCTTTATCTCCCGCCTCCCGATATGCTACGTTAAAGAGAACACACACTCGCCTATTCGTGTGATTTTTCGATAACAAAACTCGCAACATTTACGTTTAAATTTTTTTTTTTCACTATATGGCCACTCAAATCAGTAACTTTGTAAAAATTTATCTCTCTTATTTTTTCGTTAAACATTTGCATTGAGCGTTAATATATGACATAAAAAAGCAATGATATATGGAAAAGTTCTTCGATTATAAGATTAAGTAAGAGGTAATTAATTTTTGCATATTCTCTAAGAAGTGAATGATAAGTCGAAAGAGATTTTGAAAAAATAATAGACTGGTAAATAAAAAATACAAAGAGTAGTGACGGAAACAACCTGAGGAGATCAAGCAACATGTATAGGTGCTTAGAATTTGAATGTAATAATACCTGAAGCACGGTACAATGTCGAAATGATTTTCTTCTTCATTCACATATTCAATCGGATTTCAGTGTCTTATGTAATTTACTCTATATTTGATTATGAAGTCAATTGCATAAAGTAATATTACGACTATAATAATGCAGATCAATAGATATGTAGCATTTATTAGCAATTCTATTAATGTAAATAATAATATAGTTATTACATACGTACAATAACCATCATATCTTCTATTATTCCCTGTAAAACGATAATTTATAACATATATGAATAGTTGATTAATAACTCCATAAATTAATAACTCTATGAAACAATTAATATCTTGCTGTATAATATCCACCGATTTATTCGATGTTTTTATATTTTCGTAAAAAAGCTTATATGAAAAATTGTAGCAATAGAGTATAGCATGGCTGTCATATCTAAAAATAAATCGAAAGCAGTTTTAAAAACTGTCCTACAAACGAGCGGGTAATGACAAATGCACTTGAAACGCATAGCGCGATCGAATTTGCAACGCTGATAGTCGCCGAATGCAATAACAAAAACTCGATCGCGCAATAGCGAAGCAATTTAGCGAGCGCGATATTTCCGTATTAATTCTAGGGATATTAATCAACAAATTCCATTAAAGCCGTGCGAGATAACTCCTGTCAAATCGTGTAATGTCGGACAGGACATTCGTAGATTACTATTAATATAACGCCGCGCAAAATGGAGGGGTGTATTTTAATCCTTTTAATCAGGTAGAGCGGGATGCAATGGCTTAATTACACCCGAGCGTTATCGCGTACGAATGAGCTGGAAAACCCTTTATGAGATCGCACTCTTTTATTACGCTTTTACGGCGAAACGAATTTAGCGACTGCGATATCGCGTGCGATGCGCAAACGCGAGTCGGAGGCAGTGAAAAAATCTTATTAATCTCAGCCGCGCATTAAATGCTTCATCGGTACGCCGTCGCTTTTATCGTGATTGCATTGAACGTGTAAGTAAGGCAAGATAGCTGATGAAAAAATCGGTACAACTGCATCTATTTTACACGCGACGTAATGTACAGCTACACGTACGCGCGCTGGCCCATATGCACCGTACCGTTCACGTAGAAAAATTGAAATATGATGCGAAGCCTTCGCTACTGCACTGGTAATTTCACGGTGGTCTGCGTTTCGTACTATCGCGCGGGCCGGGCATACGGTGAATGACCATGGGCAGTAGTGTGGCATTTAAATGACATTTAACAGACCCTGTTACGGCTCTCTATTTCACGCCACGAGCCAATCTTATTGGCGAACACCGCCCCGGATAACGGCACCGCACCGAAATGGATCAAAGTGCGATTTCGTCGACGCTCGTATAGGCAAGTTCTCGAATCATTTTCCGGTATTCATTGCGGTGCTAGAAAGAACTAGAGTGTGAGAAACTCACTCACACACACACACACACACACACACACACATACGCGCGCGCGCGCGCGCGCGAATTCTAAAGCCATACATATCTAATTCGAGAAATAGAAGATTAAATTTGCCCAAAATAACGGGCGAGCGAGAAATTTAACGATCACACCGGTGCGTGTCGCGATAGCGTGAACGACGTTGCAAAATAATTTCGATACAAACGCTGTCGCGGCGATTTGTTAAATGGATCGCAAAAAGCTTAGTTTACCGTACGTTGATGACGGAGAATGATGGGAACGTGACTAGAATTCAATTAAATCAAATGGACCAGGGATCGAGCTGTCTCCTGCCCCTCCGTCCAACTGACGATTATACAACAGTTATCCCTTTTCATGCCTCGCACAGCGACCCCTTTCAAGCTGGATTGCCATAGGCATACGTTGCTCGATGACCTAAAGTTTTAATGCCCGAATCAGTGAACGCGCAGGATTTAATAGATGGCCAAAGCCACCCCCCGCAGCCATTGCACTTTACGGTAAAGCCGAGGCCTTTGAAATGTCGCGCGTGCCATGCATCGAACGTTATTCGCAATTTATCGCTCCCGCTCGGAACAAAGAGACCGCTCATCTCTCGTCAGAATTTCTTGTATATTTTTATTATTAACTTATGCATTACATTACCTCGAATGGGCATTTTGCTTCGCGCAATTAAATTGCCAAATGTAAAAAATGCGCAAAATATGGAAATGTTGGTCGAATAAAATAATAACTAACAGACAATTTGAAGATAACTGATAACTTTTTTAGGAAAAGCGCAAATAAATTAGAGGAATTTTATTTTGTTTTATTTAAAAACCGACCAACCAGCTAATTCCGTAAAATTGTTATAATAGCGAATGTTATTAAACGAGGATTGAAATCTAAATGTGTATAAATATTCGTAACAAATAATACAATCCATAGTTCACAAAATATAGTTTTAATTTCGAGATATATATTTTTGAAAAAAATATTTGTAAAATCAATACATTCAATAAAATCATTTGTCATATTTCGAAAACTTCCACTCTTTGCAAGAAGGATAAATATATCTAACTATAAATTTTATTTCTCTGTAAACGAAGATAGTTTAGTATACTCTCGGCGTAAACACAACATAAAAGTAAAGCAACATCTAGGAAAAAGAATCTAAGAATCTTTATTCATTACTTCAATTTCGTGAAAACGCACGAGAAACAACACTTACCGTGTATAAAATGTTCACCGAAGCGTACGATCGATACTAAGCCACCGGTCGCAATACATACCGTGGCAATGGTCGGGAATCATTCGTTCGCGAATTCCGTGTCTCGAAGGAGTTGGGAGTGCGCTGTCGATTCGCATGTCGGATTACCAGTCGCGTCGCGCAATTTTCAACAACATAATGCCAATATACATTTGCATCCCATAGTAGGCCACGGCTTTGCCGCCGCAGCACCGCGGTTTCGTGTCCCGGGGCCGTCGCCCGTTGCAGCTATATTATGCACACATGACACACGGACGCGAGAGCACTATTCCCGTGCGAACGAATGATACGTGCGTAATCGGGCTGCGGCGAGTACAGAGGCTATTTCATCTCTGTTTGTATCGTTCGTCGCGCGCAAAAACGAAATAATTCGACGTTCCTGCTTTATTAGATCTGGTTTCGATTTCCCATTGTCGTGAAAATGTTTCTTTTCATCTTTCCGAATAACAAGTAATTCTGACTTTATTCGATCTCTTTACTAACCAGAAAAATCTAATCTGTTTAATAAAATATGTGCGATTGTCGTATTTCACTAAACAAAATTTACGTGACGTTTGTACGCTTTTTGAATCATCCGGATGTCGTGTCTCGCGTGGAAAAAAATTGGTGTATTCGAGGCGTTAATGGACTATGTTCCCATCGATTCTCTTCTTTTGTTGAGTTACACATCCAGTTTGAAAAGTTGCCAATAAAAGGCATAGCGAGGCGCGAGAATTCGCCCGACCTCTATGCCGCAGTTTGTATGTAAATGCATACGTTACAACGCGTATGCACGTTTTATATCCCCGACGGCGGTTCAGCTTGTACACGCGAATTTAAAATGCACGACACTCGTCGCATGCGACGATATTAAATATTTACGGCAACAATTAGTTAGTACAATTTATCTTTATCTCAGTATTGTAATATCAACGCCGCAATACAAATTCATAATTAGACTCGACGTCGCTAATGACACGACACGTTCTTTCGGCCGTTTTCATTCTCGGATTTTCGCGAAATTCCATCGCTGTAAATGAATGCCTCAATAAAGAGGATAAGAGACAATTTGTGTCCACGGAATGTCATTTCGCGGACGCGTGCCAAAGCATACAAATATCATACAATACGAGTTTAGCTGGAGAGCGCGCGCACGCGTAAATTCATGGAAAAACGATTAGGATTGTTGGCATGAGCCTTTATCGCGCTGCAGGATTTATTACTACCGATCGGAAAGATAGGGACAACATCGGAAAACCGGCACAACCCCTCGCTTTTCTCGAAGCAGACGCCTTCACCAAAACTTCAATGGGGTGACGGAATCTACCATCGCCGCGAGTCAGCGGGAAAAATTGGGAGAATTTTATATACGAAGAGTTTCCGTACGTAAAAACAGATTCTATAGGATTAGAACTTCAAGCTTTCATGGCAAACGGCTTGAATATTTATTGACAATTTTAATGTGAAATATCTATTTAACGAATTATTTTGTTACGTTAAACGCAAAGTCACTGCAAAAATATTCGTTTCTTCGTTGTGGAATTCATTGCAAAACGCTCGATAAATGTCGTCAGTGATTTTTAACGAATATACGAAATCATTCGAGTGCACGAGGAGATCAGGCAGATCGAAGGATGTAAA